ACAAGCAAGCTTAAAATAATGATTTATTGGTAACTCACAAAACAATGATTCATAATTAATAAATGTTCACTAGTTCCAAGTAAAGACCCAGCAAGAGTCACACCCTTGCAAAACACAGAAAGCGTTATACAGCCTCACAAGGCATTATATCACAAATAAACCAAGCCAGCCATGCATGTCTGAAGAGGAAATCGTCCCCCAATGCCTGCAATTAACGTGACCATTCGGCGTTGCGGCAATCAGCAATTCGCGCAAACCACCAATCTTACTCACAGCTTAACTTGAACCTTGGAGTATTCGATATCAACAGAGCTTCTCAAAAACCCACCACATCCTAAAATGTCATCTGACCAGCTTAATGAAACAAGACACGAAAATATCAGAACTAAAGCCCAGCGACTCATCGCTCCTCCAACAGCCATTTTCGCCACACCGGCTGCTTTTATTCAAGGGCCGTCATATCGCAGCAGGAACAGACAGCCTTCCACCGAGCTTTGATGTCACAGGAGCAATGATTACTATAAGCGGCCGCGTATATTAAGGTCAAAATATGCGGGAAATATTGACTGATCAATAAAGTAAGCCTGCTCATATAGCAGGAGCGGTGCAACAGGCGGATAGAGGGCACAGGGGACATTTTCTCCCCTTTGCGGCAGGCAGAAAGGCAAGAGTTGGCTGCCACCAAAAAGCAAAAATTGGGAGTCCGTTTTCGCTATCGTAAGGCATTGCAGCTGCACGAAGGGTGCCGAAATTCAGATCAAGGGGGCCTCATAGCTGAGCTAGAGGGTGATAAATCGTGCTTAGAAGACCGTTTGATATATCAAGAGGCCCGTTTTTTGGGTGCTAAGGTCACTTTTATGGATAAGGTAATCAATTCTGGTTTGGGAGGCCCAATGTTGTGTTAAGGAGGCCCCTTTGCCGGTTCGGAACGCCCCATTTTTGGTTAGGAAGGCACCCTCTATATTCAGGAGCCCTCATTTCTGGAACAGGAAGCCCCTTTCATGCATCAGACGACCGCGGTTCCAGATCAGGATACCTTGTTTGGTAAAAGCGAGCCCCTTGGCTAGATTTGGAGGCCCCTTCTTGAATCATAAGCATTGTTCTGGCTTATGAGGCTTATCTATGGATTGAGAGGACCCTTCTGGAACAAGAGGTGCTGTTTTAGGTTAGCTTGACCCTTTGCTGGAAAGTAAAAGGGCCCCACTCTAGATTTGTTGAGCTGTCGACAATGATTTGATTGAATATGATTCATGTAACAGTTTGGTAAGGCGCGCATGCTCTTCGGTGCCCCTCCCCCTTGAATGCGACGCTGTGCAGAAGGCCACCCTGTGGAAGGCCCCATTTTGTATCGGAGATACCCTGGAAAATCCTGCTTCCCCTGACTTAAAACCCATGGCGTCATGTCAGGTGTGTCATGTCAAAACCCCGTCATGCAGTGTCAGGATACAGGTGGTCAAAACAGAGCTTCAATTCGCTGGATTTAACTTATTCTCCAGAGAATTGCTGACAGCATTGCTGATAAGGGCCAGCGAAAGAACTTCGGCCGTTGGGCAGGGACTCAAACGTCAGTCGAATGGTCTCTTGCGCTGATACGGGGTGGATTCTGGAACGACACACTTGGTCAGAAACGCTGATACCATGTCAGCTCGGTGTGGGTTTGCGCCCTAGGGCCCATTTTCTAGGCATGGGCAAGGCCGGGACCCCCATCATTAATGAAGGTCTTCTGCATTAGCTGGGCCACTGAGACAATAAGAGGTCCGAAGTGCCTAGCAGTGGATTCCGTGTTGGCAAGGATGAGGAACTCCACGTCGGCAAGAGACGCATTTGGTGAAGAGAAACAGGGGCGAACCTCGAATGTCGGAGGGCTGATTACCTTGGCTGTGGTCCTCTGGAAATGTACGGAGGTACGAGAAATAACGATAAGAGTGTCCGCATTGAGACAATGAAAGGCTATTGTGCCCATTATATTTAGACCACGAAGCGACGCGCAGGCCAGCTGCAGTTAGCGATGATGCTCACTACATTTAAGGGATACTTGAACGAAGAAGGTCATATCGATCGATCAGCGAGCTGCAATGAAGACCGATAGTGATCTCAGAGTGAATAAACGCATGTCTGATGTTTTCCATTCAATGCCGTAACTTTGCAAACCGCGGGCCGGCTTGCTAGCATGGAGACACGCATTGTTGGTTGGCCGATCCAATAAAATGTGTGCTCTGATCGAAGCAACGCACTGCAACGCATTGTTTACTGCATTTAGGAGATATTTCAACAAAAAAGGTTACATCGATCGATCAGCGACTTGTATTAAAAGACAATAATGCTCCTGCAGTGAATAAACGTACGTCTATTTTTTTCAATTAAACGCCGTAACTTTCCAAATCACCGGCCGGCTCGCTAGCATGGGGACAAACATTGTCGGGTGGTCAACGAAATAGAATCGATACCTTCATCGGACCAGTGCGTTGTTATGGAAACCAATCGCTCTATAGCAGTGGTAGCAAAAGCTGACAGTTGTACTTCCCACGCGCACTTTAAAGCATTTTTCAAAGTTCTTTTCAGCAGGTCGTTGTATTCTCGTCACCACGTTACGGCTACAGCGGTCACAGTCAACGTCGCGCCGGAAAGAGGTAAGTTGAAAAACTCATAGTAACCGATAAGTAGCTCATATAACCAGCGGATGGTGTTCGCACAATGATTCGAGTGAGCATGTTTGCACCCGCCGCGCACGAGAAAATGTGTTCGGAATTAGACGCCGTCACTTTGATTATCGCGCCTGCGGATGACCCTCAACCATTGAGTGAGACGCTCTCGCTGGTCGCGTGCAACAAAGTGCATGCCGCCATCAGACTAGTGCAGAAAAATGGCGAATCAGGATGAGGGTGAAGGGAACAGGAGCCTCCGTTATGCAGAGAAGATTTTCGTTTTTGTTTAACAGTGACAAAATCCTTCATACACACATTATACACGCCATTATACACACCATTATACTTTATAAATTAAAAAAGAATTGCCATGGGATGTGCTTGCATCCGACAAGCATATAGCAGCGCTTCTAGTGCGGTCACTCCCTTCGTGTGGCATTGCAGGCACGTTTCCTATCCATTGTATGCTTGCCATCGGGGTGCGAGCATGCCGGACTCATTTGGCAGTGCACGGTCAGGGGTGGCGTGAACAAAAAAGGTGATTTCGGGCGATGAGCATTTGCATTACGGAGCGATGTTGGTCCCAGAATAACGTCACGTAAATATGGCCGCACCTGTTATGCACGCCCAAAGGTATCATGAATTTAACGCAGTAACATTGCAAATTCTTGCTCCGGAAGCCCCAACAATCTTAGCGGGGACGATGTCGGGAAGTCGACTGACTGAAGAGTACCCTAATCGGGAAAGACTGTTCAACTGGCAGCTGATAACCGTGTCCCAGCGCTATCGAATGCATATAGTTGCCCGCCTCGTTCGCGATTTTAAGTGCTTTTCCCGGGCCGTCACGCGCAGTTGTAAGTATTTGTCCCTGGACATCGTACTTTGGTAATCAGTTTACCGGTAAGCCGCTCTCTGTTTAACAATGTGCCGTATAGGGGTGGTTTGAACAAAACTGTGATGCCTTCCGATGAATAATTTACACTGCCGGCCGATAGTGGTCAAACATTGACATCGCGTGCTAATGGTCCGGCCCACAGGGCACAACTAAAGTTATTTGAGACTGGGCTTCGTGACTTGGCACATCACCCCTGTGGGCGGCATGTCAGCATCATGAGAGGGACGCTGTTGGGGGGGGGGGGGCTGTATACTAACTGACTTGGGGGGGGGGGGGGGCTCAGACTTGCTAACTGAACAATTGTTTTGTACTTCCAGCTGATAGCCAATGAGCAGTGCTACCAAATGCACACGGTCGAACGCGAGAAGAAAAGTTTTTCCGCACCACCATATTCCAATCATCACGCTTCAAGGGTGGTGCCGTTTGCGGCGCGCCGCGAAGGGGTAACTTGAACATAAAAAGCATTTTCGTCCGATAAACGATTTACATTGCCGATCGATAGCGACCACACAGTGAATGCAGCTGGTTGCACCCGCTACGCTCGTCTCGAAGTATTTTGATGTTGGCCTCATACCTTGGAAATCGGCGCTGCGGCCGTCCCACCAACATTGAGTGAGACACTGGTGGGGATCGGCCGAATCAAATGGATTATATAATGGTACAAGTGTGTTACACTGGCAGCTGATGGCCCACACCAGCTTCGACCAACGCATAAGGTAAATCGTTCGTCGGCTGACATGAACTTATCTTAATCGATCTTCGACGGCACATTTCTAACAGCGGCCCGCCTGCCCGTAACAGGATGGACAAAATGCGGTCACCCAGAAAAAAATACTCGGAATCGGGCGCACAGGTACCGACTGCGTGCATCCCATGGCACTGGTATAGGGGTATCAGTTTCCAGTAGATCACACTTGTCCGATAAGAGGATCCATTGCGGCCGGCCCGCCCGCGGACCTGAGCGGACGGGCGGCCGCGACCGACGACGCTGCGGACTGCTCGCGGCGGGCCGACATTTCTACGGAGTCACATGACATAACCGCGCGCTCCCGAGGATACACGCCATTGCGCTCAGAATTGCACAAAGAGCACGCTTGCTTAAATTTGCGTTGGTAGGAGACATAGTCTCGTGGGCGTGATGTAAAGCCAAAAGTACCATGTCCTGGAAAATCTTATCGCTGACCTGGCATGATGGGGTCAATCACCAACCTAAAAACACAGGAGCTAACACTAGTCGCGAGGTATCTTTGAGCTCTCTCAACTCATCTCATCTCACGCAATCCACTGGCGTTTCCCTCTAAGCTCCATTTTTATTGGTTAAGAAACGCCAGCGGAGGTTTGCACCCCCTATCAGCTCACGTTGAGAACAAAAAGGCGAATCTGGACGGGGGTGAAGGGAGTGGGAGCCTCCGTAATGCGGAGAAGATTCTCGTTTTGTTGAACAATGACAAAATCCTTCGTAGCGAATTCTGCAAATATTTATTAACGACCTAAAAACGAGACAAATGACGCCCGTCGCCATGCCAAAACAAAGTCCTGAAACATCAGCACGGCGCGCGGCGCACGCCCGTGTATCACAAGAGCAGCTTTGGTAAGTACGCGGGCGATGCTAGTGAGAGTCGGCGCATTCGCACGCTGATAGCCCGAACCAGGAATGTACAGAAGCATTGCTCGTCGCAGTGCCATCTCTACAACACATGTTGTGTATCAGCTGCTTGCTATGGGATCCACATGCTGGTTCCATTAACTGACCTTAATGCCAGAATAAGTAAAATAACTAAGTCGTACGCGATGTTTTAATGAGCTACGCAGGAATGCAGAGGGCTGCAAATCCGCGGAGCAGACGTTAGGTGAAAAAGGCACGCTAATGCATTTCGCTGAGTAGTAGTCTCAATAGTCTCACATATTAGGAATCTTCGGTATCATCCACATATTTCCCTACAATGCTCGAAGTCCCCACGGTCACTACTGAGCCAGTAACCTGCTGAGTAGCTGACCGCACCATTAAATGGCGCACAAGCCGACCACACATGAAATGGCGCACAAGCCGACCACACCACGAAATGGCGCACAAGCCAATCACACCACAAAATGGCGCATAAGCCGACCATACCACTTAATGGCGCACACGGTGCGCAGATGTCACCGACAGCTGGCGAGAGTACGCTGCATTGTCCGTGGAGACACCGCCAACGGCCACGGAAAGTTCATCCTCAGGACTGGTGTTGACTGGTCTTGTCCGCTGGACATGCTCCAGACGGCCGCTGGGTGCGGTGGCTGGGACAGCGTGCAGCACCGGCTCCATCACGTCCACGGCACCCGCTCCAGCGTCCAGCGCTGACTGGGCGCGCCGGAGCACGCCATGACTACCAGGCTCTCGGGGTTGGCAGCGGTCGGCAGGTCCAGGCACTTGGCCGAGTCCACGTGCACCAGCTCTGACGTCTTTTGGTCGTGGTACCACTTCTGGCGCGACAGCTGGCTGCAGCCGTGCAGGCGGGCGCGGCCCTCCGCCTCCTGCTGGCCGCCGTCGGGCACGTCCAGACACACCGACTCGTCCGTCATGATGTACCCTGTCGGCAGACAGCGGCGCCACAGGCGGACGCTGGTGAGCTCGGCGGTCGAAGGACGGGCATAGCGCCATGCCATGCCCGTCGTCAGAGTGGACGGCCTGTTACAAACGGACACGACAACCCAAACACAGCCCGCAGTCGCGGTGTGACCTAACAAACAAGTTCCGTCCAATGTATTGCAGAGTCGGCTCAACCGTAAAGCGCTCTGAGTGAGTACACGAATCACAGTTATTGAAATCAACACTAGAACACAGTAATACTGGGCGCAAATGGCACCATTAAATTTTCATCATCACACTATCAGTCCTATTGAATTTGGATAGTCATAAGCAGCCTTGTGGGTTATAGTGATTTTACATCTGTGATTTGTATACAACGCCACATTAAAATGTGTCATTTTTAAGAAACAACACATTGGCCCCTGACACCTTGATCCACTGACTATTACAACGGCCTCGCACCCCATCCCTGCAACGTCAAGGGAGACGTTGAGTTGGCCAAGATCCCGACAGCACCAACACTAACAGGGCAGGCGTTCAGTAAGCCGACGTCAGAACACCGGCGTCGGGCCTCGGCGTCAGAGCACCTACCCTCCATGGTCATGACGAACAGCTGCGGGGTGTACCAGTTGGAGGCGCAGTCGGTGACGGTAGCGGGGCCGGACGGCTGCCCCGTGCCCGTCGGTGACGGACGCTGCAGGCAGTGCTCCAGCTTCTCATTCCGCACCTGGCGGGAGCAGACGGACACGCGTCATTGGTCGTCACGTCAACAGTACCAGCTCGGCGTGTCTCTCAGGGAGCAGACAGACGTGCGTCATTGCGCGTCTCGTCAATGGCATCAGCTCGGCACCTCTCACATGCAGCAGACGGACACGAGTCATTGGTCGTTACGCCAACAGTACCAGCTCGGCGTGTCTCGCAGCGGGGACGTCACACATCCGATCCCTTGCCAGATGTTCCATCATCTCCCCGGCCAGTCAGCTCACCTTGCCGAAGAAGCGGTCGTCGTCGGGGAAGAAGTGCTCCGGCCAGATGTTGTCCAGGTACCACTTGAAGTTGTGGCAGCTCATGCGCTCGCGGACCATCATCCGGTGGGTGACCCGCAGTTCGTCCTTCAGTTTGGCCGCCTCTGGGGACGCCGCACGTCAGACGCGATGAACGGGGCAAGGGGCGGGCGGCACGCGGGCTGCTCGCCCAGGTACGCACGCCTGGCTCGTGCCAGAGCGGCACGCCGCGGGAGGCCGGTGGTCATAGCATGCGCCGTGAAAGTAAAACCCGGCTCGGTGAGTGGCTCAGATCAAGAGCGGGTCACATCATTCGGAAACAAATCACCAATGGACGATTTGAGTTGACAAGGATGACATATTCTGAATATACTGCGTAGGCTAGAAATGGTCGGGGGTCCCACGCATTGGTGAGGCTCATAACCGTTGGTATTACTGCAGCGAATTACCAGCGTACCAATTGATATAAACGGGGCTGCGGTGAGATTGGTTGCTACGTAAAATACTTCAGTTGGGTAGGAGACGACTGCATTTGCTTAGGAGATTACCTCATTTGATTCGGAGATGACTTCAGTTAGTAAGGAAACGATGATCCATTTGTGAGGTGATGATTCGACCTCTTTGAATGTCAAATCTACCACTCTCCCCTCGTATGCAGCTCGATGTCACTAAAAATTAGCACAACCTCAGGCCACTGCCAGCCGTTCATCATCAGGCTCATTAACTGACCTGGGTTGACCTTGAAGAAGAAGTCAGCCCACTTCTCCATCCAGACGGCGGCCACCCGCGCCAAGTTGTGGTACAGCACGCCGCCCACTCCGCCCTTGCGTGGGAACGTGTACGGCGAGTTCTTGCGGAAGATGTGGCCCACGTGGGAGCACGGGTGGATCTCCACACTGCCGCCACACATCCAGACCTGGCCGGCGGGAGGCGGCCGGTCAGCACCGGCGAGCGGAGGGTCGCGCCTGGCCAGCGGCAGCCGTCAGGCAGCGGCGCCGGCGGGAGGCGGCCTGTCAGCACCGGCGAGCGGAGGGTCGCGCCGAGCCAGCGGCAGCCGTCAGGCAGCGGCACCGACTGTAGTCGCGCGGGCGCCGCCCGGCGGGTCCGGAGGGCAGGCCACTGAGTCGGCCACGGGGCCGCTCGAGGCGGACACACAGCACGTACACAAGCGAGCAGAAATAGCAACCGTTCTCAACCGGAGGCTTGCACAACCGCTGCGCTGATGTGACCACGCAGAACTGTGGATGGTGGACATTCGGGACAGAATCCAGGTCCTTGGGTATTTGGGAAAATCCAGGGGTGAATAACTCGACATCAAGTGCCGGCCACCGCGGCTATGTACGTAATGACCATTCAAGTATGGGAATTGGTCATATGGAAAACGTATGACCTTGACCATCAAGTGCTGGCCACTCAGCCACCCTGCGGCTGGGCAGATTGTGCAGCTGATTATACAACCGAAAAGGTAATTGAATTGCGAGTCAGCGATCAGGAGCCCCCTGGTGTCTAACTCCTGATGGCTAACTCGTAATTCAGACACCATGTGTGACAAGATGCTGATCGAAGCAGCGTCTAACCCCAGTTCACATAATGAAACGCTCAAAGCCGGGGATGGGGTGAAGTTTGGACGCAGCTATCAGCCCTCAGCTACAGTCACTGACAGACTGAGATAATGACAGCGGACACTACTTCCTTCCATTGTAGCTGTGTTCGAGGACGCCACCATGGTAGAGTAACATGACAATTAAGTGCTTTATCTGCTTCCAGCACCTTTAGGCCGAGTCCACTGCGGCAACCACCACCGTGCGGATTTTCACAGCAATTATGGTGTCGAATCTGCCAGGGTTATCAACTGGGATCTGAACGGCCACGCGGCGACCTGCAACGACATCCGAATGGCTAAATAATGCACCAGGTGCGACATCTGACGAACCAGACACTGACCCCCGGAGTGAGATTCGACCGGCCTAACACCGCACGGGAGACTTAAATGCTGGTCTGGAGCGACATCCGGGTGGCTAAGCACTGACCCGGAGCGACATCTCGATGTTCTCGCCACCCCAGATGTCCATGTCGCGGTCGTAAGAGCCAGACTGGTAGAAGAAGTCCCGACTGATGGCGAACAGCCCGCCGGCCATCGCAGGCGTCCTGCCGGCACCGTCGCACGCTGGTCAGCGCGCAGGCACACAGACGGCGAGAGACGGCACGCCTGGCTGTCATGTCAGCGTGCGGGTACACAGACGGCGAGAGACGGCACGGCCAGCTGTCATGTCAGCGGGCAGGCACACAGACGGCGAGAGACGGCACGCCTGGCTGACACGTCAGCGTGCGAGTACACAGACGGTGAGAGACGGCACGTCCACCTGTCATGCAACAGCCAGCAGCACGAGTGACAGGCCGGAAAATCAGCTAAACGGTTAAAGCGTCGTTCGTGGTTTTAACGGTTGTCATTGGATTTACAGCCAGGTATTAACGGTGCATTACATCCAAACGTGACACGGGTCCATTGCCCCCGTCCCGAGGCCTACAAGCGGTCTTGCTGCCGGCAGGACCAGCCAAGCACCCGTGGCCCGGCGCGGCGGCCCTTCTCATACTCCGCCGAAGCACGCCCGGCCGCGAGTCAGCCGACGTCGGTCGGCCGCCGGCGGTGCGCCCACCTGAATGGCGCCGTGTTGTCCCGCCGGCGCGCCGCCAGCTCGCGCTCGCCCAGCGTGAACCAGCGGAAGTGCAGCTGCCAGTTGAAGCCTCCCCAGTGCAGCTCGAAGCTGCGCGTGTACGCGAACGTGTCGTCGTTGATGATGTCGATGACGGGGCATACGACGGAGGTGGGGCTCTCGGCGATCCGTGTCAGCAGCGGCTCCAGCCAGCCTGTCGGCGGATGGCGGGGCGTCTCTAGCGGCCGCACGCTCAGCTCGAGCAGGCGAAGGGCCATGTGTCGGCGACGATAGGTGAGCTGGGAAGGCGCCAACTCAGGCGAACACATCTGGTGGGAAGATAAATCAGCAGCATTGGAGATCAGCAACACGCATCGCAGAGTTCATAATGGCCATATAGTGGTGCAAGTCTTGTAAGCGTTAGGCGCTCGTATCGCAACAAACGCCGACGCTGTCTTGAGGACAGACCGGGCGCCCGAGACGTTTCCCTCTCACCTTCCGTGCACTCGCAGTGCGCGTCCAGGAACACAATGACGTCAGCTGCCGCCTCCTGAGCGCCCATCAGTCGAGCCCGGATCAGGCCAGTCCGCTCCTCGATCCGCACGATGCGTGTGGGCACCGACAGGCGCGCCACATACTCGTCTAGCGGCCGGCCCAGGAAGCTGCGTTCACTGGCGTCGTCCACCAGGATCACCTCGCGGAGCAGCGGCGCCGGCGACCGATTGATAGCGCTGTGGATGGTCCGCAGCAGCGTGGACCAAGCCTCGTTGTGGAACACGATGATGACCGACGCCGAGGGTAGCTTGCTGACGTTGTATGTCTTCTCTTGGCACCTGTCGAGTAGACCAGAAAAAGTCAAGGTTCCTTTTCTGCAGTTGGAAAGCAAACATGGCGCTTGTTACGCCAGTGTAGCTTGCGCCTTTCCCAAGACGCTACATCGTGTGTAATCCGACGTGTGCAAGGCCATCTTACATCACGCCTTTAGCTGAGATTATGCTTGCATGATTGTTAAGACTATGCTTGCATTGCCTCATACGGCCAGACTCATCCACCATATTTGATTTCCTGGCTATATTTAGAAAGCTAGCAAAATGGCACGCGGATAATCTTGCGGATAATCTATTCGCCACTCATCCGCCAGATGTCATTTTCCTCGCTGTATTGCAACTATGGCCAAATAATGGACGGGTGCCTAGATATTCCTCCTTGGTGTCAAAGTGGAAATTGCACCCGCTCGACGTGGGCCCATTTTTACAAGAATGGGAACTTGTTCCCTGTCTTGCTTCCCCACGCTCTGGCACACTTTCTAGGTCAGATGGTTACAAAGACATAGTTGCTGATCAGACATAATTAACTTCACCACGCCGGGTGATATGCGCGGCATCATGACCCAAGAAATAATTTCTGCTGCATGGATGCTGTGAAATACTGTGGCAGTCGTAGTCGATCGTGACAGAGGTGAATCAAGGTCTCGCAGATTTCGCCCCCCTGAGAGCTCGGGAGCTGTTTGGTTGATTTTTGCTACACTACAATAAACATACTTTCTTGATTCAACGCCTCACTCACCGGAAGTATCAGTTACTTCTGTGACTGCAAGACAGTGCGTACAGAGCCAAGGGGTTGATATCACCCTCCTGGTGTGATTGCCAAACTTCGTTAGAGATCGTTTCCAATACTGGGCCCTGGAAATGCCCCTTCTCATGTCTGTGCCTGAAAATTTGACTCGACGCGCACAAAGATGTTGAGGAAAAGCCAGCACATCTCAACGGCCTGCTCCGATCCGTTTCGACGAACCCAGTAAATAAACGAGCAGCTGGGTGTCAGGTGATGGGCATTGGAGTACCCGAAATATGGTTTGCAAGTGCGGGTGACATAGGATTCACACGGAGCAATGGCGCCGTGTGAGTCATGTGTCACTAGATTGGTGACATGGGATTCTAAATGGCTGATATATCCGACTCTTTTGATTCTAATGGCAATTTCGATTATAATGGCTATGCAGGAGTGTTGTACACCCGCAGAGTATTAAAAAAAAAATCTTTTTTTGTAAAACCTCTCAAAGCCTTATTTAGATTCCTCGAAATTGTAACATATTTTGTGTATGACGCAGATTGTGGAGGCTGTGCCCGGCGCGCGCACGTTCTCGGCTGGGGGGGGGGGGGGGGGGGAAGCGTTGCGAATCTTTTATGCTGACGTCGAACCAGTTGTGCCGCTTGTTGATGAGAGCTGCGCCACGATGCCACGCATAGTTGCACAAATATAAACCAGTCAAAAGCCTGACTGGCCGGGTCGAACCGTAGCCAGCAAACTTCCCGGTAAGAAGACATCAAGGCGAGGTCAGCATGCAGACTCGCTCGCAAAACTTGCTCTAGAGCAGACCTGCCTAAGTCGTCTGGTGTGGACGGATAGCTCACTCAGTTGCGCTGCAACGGGAACTTCCCTTCAAGTTCCTGTTCCTGAGTGGTTCCGCTCACCTCGTAAGTTGTATACTGTACAGCATATGTATACGTGCATGAGCGGTTTACGAGTACGCATACGCAACGAGTAAAATAAAGCTAGGACAGGCCGAATGTCCTGCGTTTGTCTCACATGATATATCCCTAACCATCGAATTGGTCATTGGCACACCTCCTTAGTTTTTATGCACACACTTTGAGCAAATGTTGCCAATTTCTGTCTTGCGTTAGGATATTGTTATCAGGTAACACCATGTCACGCAATATGACGACGTTAACGATGAGGTAGGCACGGTTTTTTGAGCTCGCACGTTTTCGCGTCATTCCTTAACTCGCGATGGTCACATTCCACCGACAGATTTTAATTACTTGGAATTTGGTCATTACGATTGTCGTCATTGTGACTTTACAACATTCTCAGAAGCTTTACATGGCATCGCCTGCCTCTGAGCCCTGTAGGGATGGCGGTTAACGCGGGGAATCACACCCCGTACCTCTGGTTCCCCATACACGTGGCAGAAAGAGATTGTAAGTTTTTTCAATAAAAGCCAACTATCCATAAGGCTTGAGTAAAAAACAGCTTTCTAATTTACTTAAGAAAAGCTTTAAATGTTTCGTAACTAGTTTCAAAGCGAGCAAACTCAGTTGAAACTGAATTAGTATTCTAACCAGGAAAATCAAGGTAGTACAAGTTTGATGGCAGATGTGTGTTTTCCGCAACTGATTTTGTCTGCAAGGCGTAGCGTCCCAAAATGCGCAGTGATGCCGCTGAACGCTTCCTGCGATACCACCGTCTCAGGGTACAAAGGCAGGTCTTTTGTCATCGCATTACTTACTTAAACGCTCTTCAACATTATACCGCTGGGTACGTTAAACACGTAATGTGCTTTTAAACTGATGGCGTAGTAAAGGAAAATTGACACCATGACATTCACGATACAACTGAACATGTAACATGTTACGCGCAACCTACCATATCTAATATCATCCTAAGGATGCAACACATCAGTGTACTAAAGATACGGCGCGTCACTGACGTGCGCGCTTCTTAGAAGTTCTGGGCCTACACAGTGTGACCGGGCGACTCACAGTGTTTTGCGAACGTCGGGTAGTGAGCGGTTGACGGAGATGCGGTCCGAAGCCAGCAGGTTGAACTCGTTGATGCGGTAGAGCCGGCGCATCTTCTCGCTCAGGCTGGACGGTATGATGACCGGCAGCCCTTTCTCGCCCTCGCCAGACACCGGTCGGTAGCCGTTGGTGTTGAGCACCTCTGGACCGGCGGCACGGGCGGTCAACGCAACGGAACGCATTGATGGATCTTCACACCAACGCAGATATGGACACGGCTATCAGGTCCGTGGTCGTGTTACATCACAGCACAGCACAACACAGCACAGCACAGCACAGCACAGCACAGCACAGCACAGCACAGCACAGCACAGCACAGCACAGCACAGCACAAAATGTGCTACACCCTCGAGACGCTCCCGTCACACGGCCGTCGTGCCTCCACACACACACGCACACACGCGCTGATGTCGATCTTATCTCATGTCGAGCTATCAATTACTCCCAGTATTTATTCTGGCAATTTGCAATCAGAATGAAAAAAACGGGATACAGTACAGTCTGGTCAGTCACAGAAAGATGACGAAACGTTAGCTGAGCTCTTTTGCATCGATTCCTGCCTTTGCTACGGAAAACAAGATGGACTGCGTGTCACCACCACGCGTCCGAGGAGGGGCGGAAGACGATCCTGCTAAAGAGTGTGTGTCTTTCATGACGTGCATCCCTCCATGTAGAGCTCGACCAATGTGCGTACTAATCGGCACCAAATTCCACTGGCACAAGGTCAGAGGCGCCAGGAGCCGTATGAATCTGGGCCTAGCGAGCCTTCGCCTGAGGTGCACCGGCCTGGGCCGTGCGAATGTGAGGCTGTGACTGTAGCGGACTCTCGAAGTGTTGTAGCCAAGGTGCAAATTAAGGGGCCATCCCCCTTTGGAGATTGTGGGACCCCTGGCTCCCAAGACCCCAGCACATTTTGGTATTTTAAGACGCCTGCAAGGCTTCTAAACAAGACGGAAATGGTTCCGCGAGGCATCAAAATAGGATCCTAAGCCTAAAAAGGTCCCCGTTAAAGAAACAGCCCCCCCCCCCCCCCCCTCCCAAGCGACGAAACGAGGTCTATTGGCCGTAATGACCCTCTATGACCTGATACGGCCCCCTGGGCGAAGTCCTTGCTGCACCACTGGGCACAAGTCAGTCATCTTCCCTAAAATACAATGCCCTACATCGATGGGGTGAACTGAGAACTTCCAAACTAGGCTTTAGTCGGGTAGTCTTTCTCTCGGTCTCAGCCCTTCAGCCTACCTTGCGTCAAATTCTCCGGCGCTGGGTCGCCCATGTAATGGCCGACTACCACGTGGATCCCTTTCTTGTTGATATACTCCTTTTGATGCTTGGATTGTCTGTTAAGACACAAGCACGGTCGGTGAAAACGCCACCTCACTTCCTGGCGGCGCAGTTCGCGAAAATATTTGATCAGGGACTTATAATCACATGAGCAATTCGTTGGTGGGCACTTCAGTCGATCCACCGGTCACATAGTTAAGTTTGCTCCGCGGTTTGATTCCGTGCGGTCTAATTAATTTCACGTTATTTGTTTTACCGCCACGCCAGACATTTAATGGTGCACAACGGCGTGCAAAATCACGCAGCACTGCTGAGCCGCGCTGACCAATACGGATACTTAAAAGCATGGTCACAGTGACGTCATGATGGGCAAATAAGGAGCATTACGTATGTCAGGGCCCGTTCGGCCTCACCTGATGACGCGTAACACGTCTGGGTCCGAGTCCTCCAGCTCGGCGCGCCAGTACAGGATGTAGAGCGTGGCGGCCCCAGCCAGCAAGGCCAACAGCAGGGCCGTGCTGCGGCGGATGCGGCAGCGGAAGCACAGTCGCATGGCGGCGATGGCGCGTCCTCAGGCTGAGCCTCGGCCTGGGCACCGCAAGCGAGCGGCGGGCAACGTCAACGCCGGAATACATGTGCAACCGTGTGCAGCCCTTCTCGAAACTTGATTGCACAAGCCGTTTGTGATTATGAGGCGCACTAAGACAAATGTTTGCGAATGTGAGATTCCTGGGTTCGGAAGTTTTAGATAATGCGCCAGCTTGGGGCAGCTTGGACAGCTTGGCTATGGTATTGACGGGTCAACAACGGCTACTTGTGACGGCGTTTATTGCCAATAGATTAGCCAAGCAGTTTATGAAAACGAATCATTTCGACCTCCGACATGTCTATCTAAAAAATAGACCTCACCGCCGGTGTTACCAATGAAACAATCCCCTGCCATTCGCATCTTTCCTGGATGTCATTTTCACCGTTATCTTACATTTACTCCCAAAACGCCACCGATTTTCGTTGCCGCTACCCTCGCCATGAACGCGGAAAGGAGCGGCACGTTTCCGCCCAAAGTCAATGACCGGTGAAAGTGGATGACTTCTGCACACCTGCCGTCTCACCTGCACGTGCGACGAAGGTCAGCGGGTCAACGATGAAACTGACGATAATTTGCCGCCGATCCATGCTCGAGCGGTGACCATTTTCGTCCCCAGCCTGCAGCGGCTCGCCATTCACCGTTGTATCCACAACTCGGCGAGCTTCGCGCACACCGCGTCCCAGCCACTCACCGACGCGCCCCTCACTGGCCGCCAGCGCCACCGCCAGCCTGGCGCGGCAGGTAAGGGCGCCGCAGGTGGAGTGGGCGGAGCTAGCCGCCGGCGTGAGGCACACACTGGAACCAAGCGGTCGGGCGGATGTGATGCACTCCGGGCCACGAGGGCGCGCTGGATGGCCGAAATACGCTGACCCGACAGTTAGCAGCGGAGGGGAACAGGGGTGGAACTTCAATTCTCTTGAGGGGAGGCATCGCCCCCAATGTTGAGCTGGGATTCCAATGTTGGGCTGCCCCCCCCCCCCCCTCCCACACCACTGTTTGGCTGGGCTCTCCAATATTTGGCTGGTCCACCGCTACACTTTGTTCGGCGTTCACAGTATGGAACTTGTCTTCCGCCACACTAACAGTTCTTTTAAGCAGAACCAACAAACAGCGAGTGTCTGCGCGCCGCTGGGGCTTTACGACGCTCCTGAGACCATATGGTGACGCCTGCCTCTAACCCCGGCAGAAACGGCGGGCACGGCGGGGAACCAAACTCCGCACAGAATGGTTAAACGCAGGAGCAATAACTAAAATACGTTGTCTTACTCCTAATGCAACTCGAGTAACGCACCATGACGCGAATATTGAAATGCTGGTGGTAGTAGCGGAAAACGGCGAAACCATCAAAACACGTGGACCGAAGACGTGATATTCTTTCTTGGAGAAAAGCGCATGGCCCCTGGGATATGAGTAACGTGCTTTGTGTCGTCAGCATGATGTGGTGGGTATACTATTGGTGAGCAAAGTAAATCGCTGACCGGAGGGCATCATTTTTTATTCAAAGCGCGCGTTTAGAGGCAATGCGTTATGTTTTATGAAACATCATCGATGATGACGCAAGCTTATGTATAGCTACTGGTGTATTTTTAGGTGGGAAAGGCCACTCCGGACAACACAAACTCTCTGTTAAATATGATCTTAAATACGTAATTGTTTGATTAAGTCATCGGAGGCGTGATCATCGAATGACCAGCTGAATGACAGAATTTAAATGACGTTATAATGACTTCATGGATGCTTTGGTGGCCTTGAAAAGGTCTCCCCGAAATAGTACGCACATCTTCGCGGGCGTGTAGCTCAGAAACTTCATGCTTTAGGTCAAGAGGACCAAGGCTGCAAACTGCACCAAGTGATCGTCAAAATGGCTATTCAGTTTGAAACCCCCTACAAAGGTGGAAGACTCCATTTCAGGCGCATTGAAGACTGCTTCCGGCCTGCACGTAGCGTAATGACCAGAATATGGCGGCACGGCAATATAATTACACTCGCGCGCGAAACGTGCGACTGTGTGCATTCAAATACCGCGGCCATCGGGCTATGAGCTGCCAGCTGAACACGCTGGTCTCAATAGATAATAATGAAAGGTACGGTTGACCCACCGATGGCCACAGACGGTTGACCCACTGTTGGCGTCTCGCTCCAGGCCAGCCGATCGGTCGCAAGGGTGGTTTGCACAGATACCGTGTCCAATCTAAAATAATTTTAATCGTGGGTGGCGGATGCAACTACGTGCATCCGATGTCACTGTTCCAGCACTGTTGTACGGCAAAGCAAATACTCATCGGGAGGCATTATATATTTCGGTCAAATCACCCATTCAAAGGCAGTCTCCATCTTTGTATGGGGGATTTGTACTGAAATAGGCACCATGAAGATCGTTCGGTACAGTTTACAGCCCTGCTCTTGCTAAGACCTAAAGCTCTCTAGTTTTTTTTTTGTCTACACGCCCGCAAAGATGTGCAGCCTTCTTCGTGCAGACTATTTTCATGTCATTGAGGCATACATGAAGCCAAGGAAACACCATTCAAAACCTGCCATCCCATTGGGCATGTGGCGTTCAAGGACAAAAAGGATATAATCGATGGGTCGGGCATATCTGACGTTTGTGAGCACGATTTCGAGGCAAATAGAACGTCAACTGGCTTACAACCAATGTCGGGCAGGCTGTGGAAATTTCAATCACGAATCATTTTCACTCGTTTTATGCTACATAATACAAAAAGTCGAACATCCTTATTCGTTATTACAGAAATAAAACTTGTAATCGAATAACTTAAAAATGGTGCCATAATCGAGGATGTCAACACAAGTTAACACCTTAAGCCCGCGGACAAATATGCAAGAACATTACGAGAAAGGACCAAAACACAAGTTTATAATGACATTTGGTTAAGTAAACATTCCAGCACCGCCACGGCCACATCTCGGAAAACTGGAGCACAGTGAGAGCTGGGGCGACAATCTCGCACGGCTTGTTTGACAATGCTTCAACGGCATACAAACACTCCATGACGCACCGAAACAATAACATATTAAGTAGCATAGTCATCGAATAGTGAATTGTGTTGTCTAGGGCAGTCTTTTCCACTTAAGATTATGCCAATGGTTATAACTGAGCTTTTTCTTGATATCTGATGCTAGTTTCAACGTTTTTAAACGTGAAACTTTCCCTTTAAGACGCGTTGCTAGCTGCTTCCGGCCTACCCGTATCATGATGGCTAGCTTGATGCCCGTATGCCCAATGAAATGTATCAAATGCAATATCGCGATTATCGTGCAGTGTGGCATCAAGTTTTTATTGTTGTGTTGCCTCAGTGCGTGCTATTATGTCGCGGATGGGAGAATTTTGAAGTGGTGTGCGAGCGTGGGGAAAAAGTGAGCATCAAAAGCAGTTTTTTGGCAGCGAGATGCCATCCTGTGCAGTGGCCTCTTGCAAGAATGTGAAACGGCACAATCAAGACATTTTCCTTTTGCAAAAAAAAAAACGATCCAACTGTCCTGGAAACATGAGTGAACCGTTGCTCTTGGACTAGCACCATAAATGCGGAGAATGCGTTAATCTGATCTGGTCATTTTCAAGATTATGACTATGATCCTGGCCATCTGGTTAAGGCCACTCTCATACCCAATGTTAAACCATGCCTTCGACCAAGTGCAGTTCCTTCTATGCGATTGGACATCGCCGGCACACTGAAGTGAGTATGTGTGTGCTTAAAAGGACAATTCCCGTCTGTTTTATGCAGAAATCTTTGAACCCGATTCAGTCACTAATGCTTGCATAATCCATACCGCTCCGTGCAGTTTGTAGACTACAATACGAGATTCAAGCGAGATTTTCCGGCCATAATCTTGTTTACAAAGTGAGGCCTGACTACTACACAAGTGGCACAGCCATCCATGCTACACGGGCGAAGGGGGTGAAGGTCAGGGACGTAGCCAGGGTTTGCGACGTGGGGGGGGGGGGGGGGAGTGGGGAAGGATGAGTTTGCCCGAGCGAGTCCTAGCCCCATTGACAGTACATTTACGCACTGTGAACTGACCAACAAACCCCACAGTCGTTAATAGGTACAGTACCTAGCGCGTCAATGAGATTATTATATTGGTTTGCCCTGGTGCCTTAAACAGTTCTTTCATCTGTGTACCGTACAAGTTCACTCGGCTTTTTGCGAGTCTTACTACTTTTAAACCCCTTTTGGGCTCTTCGTGTTACTGTTCATGGTAGTGTCTGAGATTTCAAATAAAGGCCATTTGCCCGGTCACCAAACCCCGGGAATACATACAATAAAACCGTGGTAAAAAAATGCTCCTGTGCCTAAACCATAGGCCTTGAACCTCACGGGCAGATACGAATGGAGGCGGAGGGGGGGGGGGGGGGGGCGTTTGGAGCCTCGGAGGACCGTCGGAGGGCTGTCGAAAAACTGAAATGGCGGCGTCACCCCCCTGGGGCAGCCGATGCAGTGATATGGGACCATGAAACGGGTCCATCCAGATAGATCCGTGGTTATGGCCAGGAGAGGAAGACATCAGAGTGGTGCACACGGTGCAGTATTCGTCGGCCGTTGACTGTCCCTCTTACCCGCTCGGATTATGTCACGCTGGACCACAAAAAGGTGATTGTGTATAAAAACAAGCATGCGACAACGAAAGAATGGGCATGTCCGGGTCCAAGACGTTTTGCTCTCGTAATAAAAAAACAAAACTGGTGATATGCAAAGGGGTCTGATTAATGCGCCTGATAGGTACGCGGAAATGACCGTTTCGTTGTGTTGCAGATCCAAGATCCAGCTGTGGTGGAAGCGGCAGCGCATACGGACGACGTACAGGCCGCCTACCAGCAAGTAGCCGCGATGCCTCCAATGCGCATCCTGAACGAAGTGGACGAGAACGGCGGGTTCGACGAATCGGGCAAAGGCAAGCTCCATGGCGGTGACGGCGAGAGGATCGAAAATGGCCCCCACTGCAGCGACGAAATGGACGAGCACACACACATCGAGCACGGGCCGCTGGCCTTCGTTGCGGGATTCGTGGCGGTCAAGTGCAAACACGTTGATCCAAGTATGGAACTGTCTACCTGAGAGGCACCACCCAGCTGTGTGCCAGACAGCTGGATACACACGGTTAGACAGGGTGATCTGATGGTGCCGTTGCCGGCCTGGACAAGCGTTGTCGAGGCTTTCGAGATCGTGTTCCAACAAGTGATGGACCGAGGCATGAACCGAGACATTGGCATCGTGGACCGCCCACAAAGCTCCTGCTTGGAAAGTTCTGCTGCTGCTGGACAAGCGGATTGCTCGGGAGCTAGTGAAGACGCGCATCCATCTGCACCTCGGATGGCTTAATCAGGCTGGGGCTGAGCGAGCTACTGCCAGACACGCGGCTAAACAGGTGCGACCTCAGGCGGACGGCGCGAAGTGAATATTGTTGTGCTTATGTAAGCTCCGCCCCCCTCCCCCCTCCCTGTTTATTTTGGGTCCTCGCCAAGTGGCCACAATGAAGTATATGCTGGGCGCAAGAATTCTCCGCCCCCCCCCCCCCCGCAGCGTTTCTTTGGGTCCTCACCAAGTGTGCACAATGAAGTGTATGCTGGGCGCAAGAATCGTTTTAGTAAAATATGGCGAATTATGAGTCATACGTGTGTTCGATAACTTGGCTGCATGGCGTGACAGATATGATCTTGATTAACGCCATGCACCACGACCTTAGAAGGCTTCGTGGCATAGTTGACGCGA